GTTAACTCATAATGAGTAATTGCATTTCAGAATAAATGTAACACTGACCCCCACATGAATGCGTCAGAAAGAGTTCGATCACATCATTATATTCTTTATTTACATATTCATGTGGTTGTTCATTCTGACAAATATGTTTTTGTGGTATACAGTTTGACAGTTCAATATACTACAGAATACTACAAACGTATTTGTTAAAGTAAAGCTTTCTCACAGTTTCCCTGACAGGATGACAGTTATGCTACATGATCAAGGTAGCTGCCAATACATTCTTTTAGACTTCATTCATATTTTTATCATCATAAAATATGTGTTACTGTATCCAAAGAGATTAATTAAGAATTTCTTTCAGCTACAAGCAAATCAGGTTCACAGCTTAATATTTTGCCCTGTTGTATAAGGGCCATTCTGTCATGGTCCTGGGTCTATAACCCAGTGTTTTGTGTTTTTGAATTATTTATAGTTATTTATAGTTTCTAGTCTCTTGGGTTCCATCTCTGTGTCTCCCCTGTGTTCCTTGTGTCATGTCTAGTCAACTTAAGTTTTCATGTCTCATTCTGTGTCTCATGTTTCCTGTTCTATTTTGACAGTTCCTTGTCTGGTGTGTGCAGCGTGTTCAGTTTTGCTTCTCCCCAGTCTCGTTGTGTGTGATTACTCCCAGCTGTGCTCTCCTCCTGTGTCTCATTCCCCCGTTATCTCTCTGTGTATTTAAGCCCTGTGTTTCCCTCTGCCTGTTGTCACGTCGTCCCTCATGTTGCTGTGTATCTCTCCCATGTTCCTTGTTTCCCCGAGTGGTTACTAGTTAGCTCCTGGGTCCTAGTTTTTCTGTTTATTGTTTTCCTAGCTCCCTAGTTTAGTTTCCTGTTTAGTTTATGTTTTGTGTTTTCTATGCTCGGATGTTCACATCCATGTCCAATCCTGCCAGCCACACAACGCAATCTTGACTGAACAATGCGACCACACCATGGACCCAGCAGATTCTGCTCACCTCGAGAGGGAAAGGGATCTCACTCGCTGTGAGCCCAGGAGCTGGCCAAACTCATCAGTCTATAACCCAGTGTTTTTCTTTGAAGCTTGAAAACTTTGATTTTGTTTCTAAATCTGAAGAAGCAGAAGTTTCTGTTTCTGTTTGTGTTGAACACAAACTGGGCCCCAAATAAACTGGACTGTGTGTTTCCCAGCTCTCAGAAGCTGTGTTTTCTTTTCCTAGGGTCACCCATTCAAAAACTGTGTATAGTGTTTTGTGCCACTCGGTCGGTACTCTGAGACTGTCCCCACTCTTAGCTGTCCCCAACTGTTCCTTGGGTGGGAACAGCTGGTGTCCAACCGTTACCTGTTTCCCAGGTGAAGGCAGCCGTGACTCAGTCTTCCTCTGCACCTGTATATGTCCCTCGGGTAGAGGCAACTTGGCCTGTTCATGAGTCTGTACTCATTCCTAGTGTAAGGGCAGCTAGGACCCCGCCTGTCCTTGCACCCATCCATGCTCCTTGGGTGGGGAGGGCTGGTAATTGGAAGGAAGGAAACAGGTTCTGGCTGTTGTGAGGCCAGCCCCTCACAACAACTCCAACTGCTGCCGTTAGAGCATCCTGATCAGGCTTTGTAATTTGCTCCAACCCAGCTTCCTTTCTGTCAGCTGGTGGTTCAAGTGAGCTGTCTTAGTTTTCTGTATCACCAACTGGGAACTCAGATGAGTCCACCCAGCCTTCACCTGTTTCAGCTGGGAGCTCAAGCTTATCCAGCCAACTAGAGACTCCACGTTGCTGTTGATGTCAGTGGAGCCATTTGAACAGACTGCGTACACTGCACAGCCCCAGCCATAGCATCCTGGGCTGGCTGTGTGTCCTGCACAGCTCCACCTCACTCTGTCTCTGCCAGAGGTTTCTACACCATCTGGTTCAGGTCCTGTTTCTGATCTGCTAGAGGTTTCCACGCCGTCTGGTTCTGTCCCTGTGTAAGGGGCTGCTAGCCCCGTTATGTAGGGGTATAGAAGTGCACAAGCTGCCTTGAACGACTAGGGGGTAGTGGGATCTGGGTCCATGACCTCCCCTAGTACAGTTGAACTGGATACTTACTACTGTAAGAATGGTTTTAGCTGTCTAGCTGTTGCTAGCGCAGAAGGGGGGGCTCCAGGGCTCAAACCTGCGAACAACGGCTGCCCGGAGTGCACTACGCTGTCGAGCATTAACTCAGCCTAGCCCCACATACCTGTACCCAACCAGATAACCCAGATGCCCCTATTCCAAGGCAACCTGGTTTGACAGAAACATACTACAGTCACTTTTAAATCACGTGTAACCCTTTTATTTGTTCAACTGGCCCACCAATGTTAACGGGGCAGTACTTTTTAAATTCATTATTTATCTGAGAACATTAGTTACTTTTATGTCAATAATATAAATTGTAGATTATACAGAAGCAGAACAGAAGACCTTGGTTAATTCACCAAACATATATTATAAACTATTTTGATAATTATTCATTATTCATAATTATTATGCACATATTAAGCAACAAGCAAACATGCTCTGCAACTTGTGTTGCTCTAATGGGGCGCCAGCCACAGAAGCCGTGTGGTTACTGTGTTTCATTGAATAGGAAGTGTATTTAATTGCTCAGGATGTATGATTTTTCAGCTGCCACATTTACAAGCTGCTTATCCATTATTGATATGGAACAGAAGAAAGAGACTTTTCGAGTAGGACCATTCAGCTGCTGAAATGTTGTTTGTTTGATTTGATTAATGAAACAATGCAAAGGTTAATTGTGGGGGGGCAAGAACAAGAGGTTGAGATTTTTAAATGAAGTCAGTCCAATTTGGATTATATATATATATATATATATATATATATAAGGGGTGCAATGATACACAAAATTCACGGTTCGATACTTTGGTGTCACGGTTTGATATTTTTTTGATACAAAATAATGTTCATGCTTTTTTAATTTGTCATTTATTAAAATTATAAATA